TAGCGATGTAATAGCGCTTTTTCGTTTCATTATATTTTACTACTTGAAATGTACGTTAGCAACGAAGAACGAATGATAAAAAAAAATGAATATGGATTTTGACAGTTTATTCAACTTGGGCATGTACCCACCAAAGGATATGCCGAAGCAGTGAACTCAAACGAAATGCCATCATAATATTCGCTAAGCTATCGTATCCTACGGCTAGAAAGTTAGACAGTAGCACCCCTGGTCTGGTGATTTTTTAAGATTTTTTTTTATTTTTTTATTATTTTGTGGTGTTCCTGGTGCGTATCTAAGTATAAACAAAACGACTGTCTCTTCTATTGAATCTATGTTATAAATAACAAAACTATGCAAAACATAAATACGCAATTAGAACGAAGATAGTAATTAAAATTAATAGTTTCACAAGCTCCATGACTTTATCTGGTGTGTGGCTTATCTCAACAACGATACGACTGTTGCAACTAAATTTAAGATAAAGTACTATTTGTTAATTATTTATTCTTTATAAATTACTTAATGACAATCTGTCTCTTTCATTTGTGATTGCGGAAATTAAGCAATTTTCGATGAGGTCTGTCATTGGATAGGTGACCCGAAAGGTTTTATCTCGAACTCATCCTTGTTATAGTCATTCTACCTATGTGATACCCATTGAGATGGCCTATGTCTCAAATTATGCGACTATTTCTTCCAGTTTTAAAAATTCAACAGGTGTATATCATCATTACAAATTACATAGGTAAATAAACAATCGTTTTTGACAATTATATATATCTTACTATAAATAGTACAATATTATCAACATATTCTGTTTATATTACTTAGCAAAATACTATCGAATTATTTTGCATTCGAGAAATATGTCAAAGTTTACACATATGTCGATATCCAAAGTAGTTCGACCATTTTTGACATGGAAAGAAATTGCAAATTTGTCTTAAAGAGTATTATTAATAGCGTAAAAAATAAAATAAAAAATAGATAAAACATAAAAATTTTATTATATTTTTATATCGTCATTATGTAATAATTAACAGCACATGGTGAAGTTGGCATTGAACCTCCACCACCGTGGGAAAAGTGTCGGATAACACTTATCATTGCGCCTACGCAACACATTCTATCAACAGATGCGGTTACTGCGGTCTTATTGTTTTGTATCTTGTTTTGAAATAAATGCTAAAATATAGGGAATGCTGGATACAATATTATTAAAAAATGACAAACTCATTACAAAATAAGATCTTTACCGAATCTTCCAACGTCTACAATATTTTGCAAATTAACAAATAGTACTGAAAACACACACATCTATTTCTAGTAGGTCTTTTTGTATATATGTACATAAACTGACCGTGACCACGGCCGGTGTTACCCGGTCGGATCAATCTATCGCGATAATAGGGATGATGACAGGGTAAAAAAATGCAATTCTATTTAGTCCGTCAGTCAGATAATAGAAAAATATTAGATACGTATTTTTTTTCATTTCAATTTAACAAGAAATAGTAGAGATAACAGGCTTTAAAGTTGAGGAGTGGGAGCTCGCTACGTCACAGTTGAGTAGAAAACGTACTCTTACGTGACGTCATGCGAAATTTCAACTCCATGTAACGCCGTAATTTTATGATTACGAAAAAAATACGTGTTTAATATTTTTTAACACTCTACCTGACGGACAAACAAACAAAAATTAGTCATCATCCCTATACCCGTTTCATACAATCTAATACGAGTATAATGCAACACGAAAGTTTATCTACATATTTTTTTTATAAAATCTTTCTGGCTATTCCCTTCGTATCTTACAGGTTTATCCCTTCGTATCTGAAAGTTTAAACTTCAAAGAAGATTGGAATTGATATAATTATGCTTAAATAGCGTAGTAGTAAAGTAATTTCTCTATAATGTAGAAGATGATTTTTAATTTTTACACCAATAACTGTTAAGGGTGGATGGGGGTCTTGGTGTTCTAAAATACGAGCAACTTATTGCCTATTGTCAGTCTCCTACCACATTAATGTTTGTGGATATAAGAATAAATCATTACTATTTAAATAAAAGTTGTTTCTAGAATTTTTATTTTTATTTCTATAAAACTCTAGTCTCTAGCCTAGTTTTCTCGTAACTTTTTCCGCGTAAACTATTAATAAGCTGTTTAGTGATACTTTGCTTTAAATTTTTAATAGCATTAACATTAACTTCTTTGAAGACTGAAATTATATCTAATGATTGCAAGTACATATGTTTTATTTAAATTTATGATTTTAAATGTTTTTTATGTGCTGTTATTTAGAGTGTTATGTAGATAGCGTAGCTTTACATTGGCGAAATAATTTTCATGATGGGATTATTATTTCCAAAGATCACTCCGCCCCCCCCCTCTAAACAAACAAACTTAGAAACATACCTCTTATGATGTTAATATAAAAGAAAAAGATTCCGAGTAAATTGAAGTACACAAAAATATATTTCAATAACATACTTATGAGTAAAAGCTATAAGAAAAAATACTGAAGATTATTCAAAGGTCAACTCAATAGCCTATGCTTTATTCTTTCGTTTCATTGACATTGATTTCGGCATGCGTTTGTGTAAAGGTAATAATTAGGTACAACTATTAAAAGCTGATTACATTTTTATTGCCTACTAAAATACAACCTAAATAGGAAGCAGGTAAAAAAAAATTGGACGACCCAAAAGTGCTTTCAAGAAGCTCATATAAATGAAGATTATTTTCATTCAAAAGAGGCGTCCTTTGTTTTTCTTATTCTTTTTAAATATATTTTTTGCTGACAAGCTTACGATCTCTACCCAAAATTATACCTGCCTATTATTGTTTTGAAGTTAATACTGTCAAATATCCGTGCGATTTGAAATTGAACAATCGAAGCTTCTAGAAAAATACATACGTACATAATATAAATAAAAATAAAAAAACTTCACGTCATTGTCCCGTAATAGATGAACAACGAGCTCTGATTGGTCGAGCGAATCTCTACGTGTAAAGATTGCTTCTTATCAACGTTGATAAGTGAGAGAACAATAGGTATATTATCTGTTTATTAACGATTTAAAGAAGGTGGGGCTTTGTAGTTTTTTCTATATACATTATAATATACAGATTCATTAGCATCGGTTTTGTGGTTGCGAAATTTAACTATCTAAATTAATGTTTTTTTTTACATATCGTCACCATCATCAGTACTGAAAGAATAAAGAAAATGTCGCAACAAAAGTATAATGTCGACGCTCGAAAGCAAACACGTAGTAACCCGCAAAACCACAATTGTTCTTTAGAGCAGAGAAATCCTTTTTTTTATATATATAATCCCTATGAATATCCATGGTAACAAATAAGGAGTTTCTTAATCTATTTATACCGAAATAAGATATTTTTTTGGAAAAATATAAAGATTTTCCTCTCTAAATATCCATTTTGGTTTTGCGGGTTACTACGTGTTTGTTTTCCAGCGTCGATGTATACATTGTATAAAACAAAGTCAAGCCCCCCTGTCTGTACGATGAGATCTTTTTAATTACACAACAGAGTATAATGCGGTTTCCATTAATATATAGTGATTCAAAAGGTTAATATGTCTAATAACGAACCACAAGACGAAGTGATGGGTCCTGATTCACCCTGACTTTTTGACATTTTGCCTAGATGTTTTAGTGTACCATCTGTCCAGGCCCAGACTCGAATTGGTAGGTGGTAACGACTACAGCAGCAGCCAGGACTAAAGGCTTAACATGAAAGAGGTCACGAGAGTTACCTAATCTCCACATAACATTTCTAATGCGCTAATCGCTGTATCATCAAGCTCCTCTTAAAACCAGTCAACATGTTACCATACACAGGCACTTCCAAATGATAATTGAATATATGTAAACTACCTTAAATAATCAACACCAATTCAGCTATGTAACAATCGGCGGTCTTAGCACTATACAGCGATCTCGTTCAGACAACTTTTCGATGGAGAAATGAAATACGAGATTAATAAATGAAAAATATCCTCCAAATATTTACTGGCAGACAGGTAAAATTACCAAGAGGCTGAAACCGTTTTAACGAATCTCTATAATATTACTAACTAGCTTTTGCCAGCGGCTTCGCCCGCGTGGACCCTAGGGAAATGTTAAGTGGGATAAATTTATCCTATTATCTAAGTCAGCTAATACCCTATCTGCATACCAAATTTCATCAAAATCCGTTCAGTAGTTTCGGCGTTATTGACCGAGAAACTTCCAAACATCTAAACATCCAAACAAAGAAATTTTCACATTTATAATATTAATAGGATATAAGATATTACTCGTAAAATAGATCTCTATGATTAATACATTAGTAAAAAGTATTTAAAAATCGGTGCTCGAATTAACCATAAATCGCGTAGTATAAAATGCATTGACATTACTGTTGTATCAAACCAACCGTTTAAGGAGTCTGCTCTATTATCTATGAATCTTTTATTTATATTATTCATAGTTGTACAAGTATGAGGTTATCGACGTGATAATGTATCATCATAACAACATTTAATAATGTACAGTCTCCTGTGGACACAGCTGCACACTGGTGACGAAAACAATTCAATAAACACTCTTAATATATTAAAAGTTTAATTTTTTCTTATTTTTTAGGAAATTCAATCAATAACGATATTAAGTTGTAAAGTATTGTCAAAACGGTTGTAAACCAGTGTTCCAACATACGTTGCAGATCATATTGAAAGATTTAGAACTGTCGTTTAATTGACGAGATGCAAAGGCAACCGACCTCTGTTGAAATGCTGTTTATGAAAAGTGCAGATCAACTTTATAATCCTACGAAGAATGACACACTTAACTGAACATTAAAGCCGCAACTGAGAGAAATTATCACTGTCCAAAAGGGAATGATGTGTGTTGGTTTATTTCAATGTAGTCATAAGTTGTAGGCAAAGACCGGCAGCGCGCTTGTAGCTCCTCTGGTGTTGCAGGTGTCCATGGGCGTCGGTAATCACTCACCATCAGGTAATCCGTCTGCTCGACTGCCCCCTATTCCGTAAAAAAAAAGGTTTCCAAGGTTTTCCAGATAACATTTTTTAATGCGTTCGTATTGATTTTATTTTTTAATAAAATCAAATTGATATTTACTTTTTTTTATCGTTACTTTTTGTCATATTCTAAATAATAACTGCGTGTCACAAGTGTCAGGTCAGTCAGAAAAGGCGACGGCGGAAAAATCATTTAAAATCGAATTAGGTGTCATCTTTTATTACAGCCTAGCTGCCAATAAATCAAATTTTGTAGATTTTATGAAGGATCATGGTGTGTTATCAATCAATAATGTCGCTATATTTATTAAGAGTAATATAAGCTAGAGACAGAAGAATTAGACGCTGGTTCTGTAATTCTCAATGGATGGCAGAGCGAAGATAGATTTTCGAGAAATTATAGAATTTCTAGCTAGCTAATTTTAAGTATCGTACTTAAAATTAGCTAGCGGTTAAAGACAGACTGTATCATTGCCAAATAACTTAGATAAAACTGTGACTCTATAAGAATGAATCGTATACAGATAGATTCATAATAATGATATCCTGAAACTACACTGCAGTATTCTAATACACTTCAGACGAAACTTCAAAATAGATCGACCTTGATCCTTGGTTCCTAATTTGACCAATAGTTAACCATTATTATATTTGACCACATTCACAGTGCTATACTGGAAAATATTGTTACTTAAAAAATTGATGAAATATAATAATTAGAACAAATTTTCATCGAAAGTTTAAAATATTTGTAAAATTATTTCTCTTGGCTGTTTGGGCGGATTGCCTGAACATTGATAAAAATACGCTCTGTAGTAGCAAAAAAGTAGCGAAAAAAAGTGCAATAGGTCGTAGGTGCGAGTTCCATCGCAGATTGCTAGGGACAAAGTAGATTTTTTAAGCTTTTTTCATTAAGAATAGTAGTAATAGTATCATTTCTCATTACAAAACCTAACATTTAAACCTACTTTTATGGATGCTCTCCGTTTAAAAACAAAGCCGTTTACAACTGTCTGTACATTGAGATCTTTTAAAATACGCTAAGCAGTTTTCATCAATATACAAACTGATCCAAGAGGAAGGTTTATAAATATAAAAGGGGCGCAATAAGAAAAATATAACGAGGCCGAAGCCGCTAGCGGAAAAGAGCACACTGACATCCCTAACTACTTTCTTCCACCTACGCGTTAATTAAATTCTTAAAATCTTAAGCATTTAGTCCATTTAATATATCTTTCGTGATTTAAACTTATTTTATTTGAATACACCACTATCGAAGCTGTAACAAATCCTGCAACAAATATGAGAAATGTCGTCTTATTTTAATACATATTTCAATTCATTACTTTGATATTGATTCAGTTGATTAATGTTCACGGGCTGCTATTTAATAAAATGACTTATGTTTAGGACCTACAACAGAGATATTTAATCTCCTTAAAATATCAATCTCAGAAACCAATTTAATTATTTCGTTTCTTAATTATTCGTTTAAGATAAACTAAATATCGAACGCAATAAGAGGGTTGGTATACAATTCTAGTCGTACTCGAGGTCGTTGCCCTCTCCAATATTGACACGCGAGAGGAGATATCGGAGGCAAACATGACAGCCGATACGTAGATGATGTCCTCACAACATGGACACACTATTTGAACGTTATTTAATCTTATGTTTGAATTGTGATCTTGTAGTTATATTCGCTGTGTTAAGAAACAAGTGTTATCGGGATGGATGCATATCGAAAAGGAATTAACGAGTCAAACTAGAAAATGCTACGAAATCGTCTAGCTGACGGCCTACTCATATTTCAGTTCTGTAGAATATCGATTATAAGTATAGGAACGAAGACCCGGTTTTGACTTACCAAGTAACGCATAACGCAATATATTATTATTGTTTTACCGTGAACGCTTTTGAAGATGTTACATTATGGCAAAATTACAGAATACCGTTAATAGCTGTGTGTCAATGCTCTTTTCCTCGTAACTCTCCACATTGCCAAAACCATATCATTGTATTAAAATAAACGAAACCGGGTCTACCCTTGTAATGTAAGTTGTGAAGATTGTCGAATTTGCAATCTTAACAAGTTACAATTTTTTCTTATTATGAAAATCCGTTTTCCGTGATAAATTTTTAATTCTTAAAAATAATATTAGCATCCCTTGAGATCTATTCCCGGTCGGATCTATATAAAATATGAATTATATACCTTCCGATACCTTCGCTATTTCAGATTCTGTACAAGTGTTATAGTTACTTAATTTGGATCTGAATATTGTGATGTTGTCTAATATATTTATTTATACATAACCTTTTGTTTATAGCATATTATAGATAGCTTGAACACTTTTAGACTAAAAGTTTTAAATTATTTCATGAAAATTAGTACATCTGACTAAAACCAAAAACTGCTCGAATACTGTAATTTGATTATTGATTTTGTACGAGTCATTCTTAATGTATTTATCTTTTTTTATAATTGATATTTGTATTGAAGTGAAAGTGATTTTTTTGTGTTGGGTACTCATATGTGGATGTAATATATGGGGTTTCTATGGTACATATCAGACCTATTATAATTATAGAGGAATTGTAGAAGGATCATATTTAAAATATTTATGTACCATTAAAATGGTTATAGTTGCCTTTATCGTTTTTTATGATTCGTTTACTTAGTAGCCAAACAATAATTGCTTATTCTTTGAATGAAAATTGTATAACCAAAATTGTACACGTACACTTATTTCCCGACCATATGTACAGAGCAAAGATAACAACTGTACGTCTTATCCGTACATATGTACACACGTATTATATAACTATATAATTATCATCATTCTAATGTTTCGAGTGCAAAAAAAATAACACACACACAATTACACAATTGAAATTCACAATTCACAGAGTGTATCCGATATGGTGTCCTAAAGCACTACTAAGTTATAGTAAATAGGTATTAGGTACATTTTAAAGCAAATAGCCATACTTTAATGATATTATATGTCAGACCATCGATAAGCTTTCATTATTTACCTAGGAAAAGCCGTTTTTCTTACGATCAAACAATTAATTAATGAAGAGTTATAAATAAGGAAGAAACACTATAGGAACATCACGTTTTATTCTCAAACGAAAGTGAAAGAAAGTTATTTGACCAATACATCATTTTCATCACGCGAGCAGCAAAATGGCGGAAGCGTTGGCGCGAAATAGAATCTTGACTTTTTTCTTATACGTGCGCGCTATTGCCAGCGTGAGGCATTCCTACCGGCCAGTGTCAGTTACCGATAGTAGGGCTGATAGAATATTATAATACTTATTTTATAAAGAGGAAGATTCGTCATTGTTTATAGAGGATAAACTCAATTTTAAAATTTCTCTTATCAATATTAATCTACAGTATCAAAGGATACTATAGATAGCCTATATTTTATTAATTATAAGACAGTACTAAATTTGGATCTAGTAATAGTAGTATCTAAATGAAAAATAATCATGATTCACATTTATCTCCAGATATTGCCACCTATCCAATTATGTAAATCGGTAGTTACTGGAATAAATAAAAATATAAAAATCGCTACCAGAATATTTTAAAATTCATTTCTTAATAAACGAAGCAACCCTACAAACAGTTGTTCTAAAAAAGACTAATGTCATGCAATGCCGTTGCAGCGATTGTTCAAACGGCGTGTGCTACTGATTCCATTGTGCGTTATTTAATTAATGCACAGATAAAGAGAGTGAGAGTTTTTTTTATGAAAAGAATTATCCGAACACACGCCTTTGTTGACGCGAGCGATACTGCCCGTTTATGTTTATCATAGTTTTTCTTTTCATCACATATTATTCCTCCTTTTATTGTTTCCCGCGCTATAATACATTATTTTTTAACCACGACTAGTTGTTTATGTTTTTATTTTCCTTTTAATTTGTTAGCGTAAGCATTTATTAAACACGTTTAAGTATAGTATTATAATTTTTCACATAAATTATTTAATTAATATTGTTGAATATGTCAAAAATATAAACAATAATTTTCCGCCAGCGGCGTCGCCCGCGCAATATTTATACCTATAGGTAACTGTTTAAACCTAGCCTATAATTATGTTAATCCATGCTTAGAATTTAATTTGATAATTCATTTGATTAAGTTTTCATATCATGACACGGACAAAATTAAAATGACAAATTGAATAGTAAACAATGGTTACTATGGTAACGTTTTCATTCCCTATACAAACTTCCACTTCCATTTTCTTCCTTTTGTTTTCTTGTTCTTCTACGGGATAAACAAATGATGTAGCTTCCCGTAGGTGAAAGAATTTTTAATGTCGGTTCGGTAGTTAACGAAACCTATTCAATGCTAACAAACAAAATATCAAACACTTCCCTTTTTATAATATTATAGTATAGATATGTATTACCCCTAATGCCTATGTATGGCTTTTAATTTCTTTTAGTACATTTTCTTAATAAATATAAGACTAAATCAATTCCTTAATCAGCCATTATATCTATCTTTTATAAGATTACATTGTATAATTTTCTTATTTCATAAAATGTCCATCAATATGACTCAAATGCCTTTGCTTTTTTGAAGGAAAATCATATTTGGCGCGCAAAGATAACAACGTAATACATAATTCATGATTTTGTTTCGACGTCAGTTATTATACGTTGGTCCTAGTTGAGACGGTTATTGTTTAGAGAATCTATTGTATACATTATTCGCAGCCACCCCTGTCCTATATTTTGTAAACTAAACACTGGACATCCCGTTCGTCTATTTTTTCCGTTGACGACCGGATTGTTTGTAAACTATGCTCCCCGGTCTGTGAATGAATTTCGCGCGGTTTCCGCAAATTGGCGGAATATAAGTGACTCATAGTAACAACTATATTTTTAATGAATTAAAAAAACAACAAACCATAAATATTTATTTTTTATTGTACTGTAATAGGTGAATAACTTTTTTAGCCTGTCCAAATTAAACTACCACCACTAAGGTGAATGTATATAACTTACGGATTATTTTACTGTTTATTGTTGTTAAAAACACAATAAAAGAATATAGATAAGTTTTGTACAAAAGTTTAACAATTACCGTTCGGTGATCCTGTATAAATGCCCTTAGTTTCTCATACTTCTAATAGTAGCGTTTTGTTTGACAGCTTATCATATTTTTAAACAATTGAACTCCAAGTATAAATAATTCTATAGGGTTGTTCCGGAGTTTAAGAATATCAAACAAAAGAGAACAAATTGTAAAACTTTATTTTAAGAAGAGATCATAAATTACGTCATCAGCTTAGAGAAATAATAATAAAATGAGATATTTTAAAATTAGATATCTTCGAAGAACTTCGGCTTAAAATCAGGTAATTATAACAATTAAATATGACAAAGGAATTCTATTCATTCATCTTTATATGGCGAAGTCGGGTCTAAAGTGGCCGGTGCCCTGACTAAGCGAGATAAGCAATCCTTCCTATAGATATGAGTTGTTTACCAAGTATCGGCGCTATCTGATAATTGTTAGTTCCTGCTATACGTTACTTGAAACCGTTAGGTAACTGTTAATTTTATGGAAAAACGGATTGACAGTTTTCAAGTCTTTGACTATGTTATCAATAAATTATATTTCATATTATGATTAAGTTAAGGAAATGATTAAAAATTATGAAGCTGAATGGGGATGGAAGTACTTTGCCTACATTATGTGTAGATTTAAAAAACACTGAGTTCTATTTCGAATCCAAAGTTGCCATAGTTGCTACTGGCTAAACGGACTAGTACGTTTATTAATTTGCTAATAAAAGTATTAATGTGTTCATTTACCTATTAGTTGAAAAACAAAGTGGGTCAGTTAAATTATGTATGCCATATTTAAAAAATATGTATAATTTCAAGTTTTGACTGTGACACGACCCTTTCAAAGGATGGAGTTATTTCACTTCTAATTAAAGTTTATTTGAAAGTCGTTTCGATCGATTTTAGATGCGTCCTCCCTAAGATATATCTAGGAGGCTTATAATAAAGTAGTCTAAGAAAATATAGTTTCTAAATATAGTTTTTAATAACATAAATAAAAGTTGTATAAAAATATTTGTTTACTGATAAAATTATTTGCTGCCACAAGACCCGTTTCTGTCTAGCCGAATGCTCTCAGATATCATTATATTAAAATTATCTATGTCATCTTCACTCATTACTTACGTATTAACTATCACAAAACAAAATAATAAAAAAAAACTTTTTTCCTAGTTTAATTAATTGCTGGTAGGAATAAATCAGTGTAAATTGCAATGTAACAATTAAAAAATATGCCGCGAGGATGTAATAGTAAAAATATAGGCAACATTTTTTTTTGATGGATAATATATGTTACTTGAACTTGCACCATGAAATAAATCCAGGTTAGGGAAATATTAAAATGGAGTTGTAATTTCTAATAAATCTCTTAGACATTTGGTCAGTGTTTCGTTTTATCACAGCTTTGTGACAAATACATTTATACGTCAGACATGTTTTTCCCTTGAAAGATCCATGTTATCTGGCGGATATCATGTATCGATTAGTGTCATGGAGTTAGATAATTGATCGTATAAGGTATAGGTACTAAAAGTCTGGTACTGACTGACTGACAATCAAATTATCAAATTCAATAAAAAAAACCTTCAAAAAGGCAATAAAGGTTTTATTTGAACGGACCTCACATCTGCGACAGCGCTGTGCTTGATTTTATATTTTTAATATAACAATAAAGCTTTACCATTTCAAACCTTAAACAAGTTAATTTTAAAGTATTTTTAATAACAGCATACGAATTTTTGCTGTCAACATCAAACATGACAAAAAATTCAGTGTTAACTCTAAAACAATCTTCAGAAAATAAGGCGTTTGAAAGTAACATGAACATTAATATTTATATTAATTAGTTACAATTCCCTCGTTATTAATGGCGAAACAACATACAAGAACGTTATAAATTGTTGGTGAGCTAAGTGACTTATAGTAATAGATTTATTCAACCTAGTCTAGGGTTCTGTAATATAATCAGCCTCGAACTCGACCTCGAGCTCAGCACTGTCACAGTGTAGAGCTTCGATCAAATAAAACCTCTATTACGTTTTTATTAAATAATTTGGTTTGTTAAGAAATCTCATAATATTTCTTATGTACTTAATATTTTGGTAAGCTATTGCATCTTTTAAGGACAAACCAGGACAAACATACCATGCACTGAATGTCTCAATAAAAACACAGTATTACACACTATTACCTTTTAAAAGAGGTTTCATTTCATTCAATCTCTATGCTGTGTAGAACTGCAGTTGTATCCCTTGAGAACCGTTTAGTAGAATTAAAAGTAATCTAGATTTTAATGAAGACTTAGAATTACCTTACTCCAAATTTCATTAAAACCTGTTCAGTAGTTTTTGGGTGAAAGAGTAACATCCATCCTCACAAACTTTCGCATGTATATGTTAGCAGTCGTGTGCTGTATATATTTCTGGGCCAATGTGTACACTACTATAACAAAATTCCTATAGAAATTTTAAATTTACCATTGCCTACATTTAAGACTCATTACAAATTGTCTGCTTAGTAAAGGATATTATACTGTTAATGAATATTTAAACGACAAAACTACTTGGTGTTAAATATGTCTTATTTTTCACAAGTGTGTAGTAGTTTTTATATTTTCTAATATTATGATGGAAAATAACATCATATTTTAACGAAGTAATTTTTAAATCTTGACGACACTATGAAATTTTAACAGGGAAAAAACAGCAGCCCTTGCCCAATTTCTTGCCGGTTCTTCTCGGTACAAGGTCTCCCGCCATTGACTCACAAACCGATGGCGTAGAGTTTCGACTTTCACAAGTAATTTGCAACAGCCTATAAATGATTGATATGATAGTCTTTTTAGGTTGGTCTTTTCATAAAGACTACGAACTATGGATTCGTAGCTTCGTAGCCTGTAGCACTATAAAAGTTCGTAGCTGTATTTTATTACTTTTTTGGTGACGATAGTTTGACACCATGAAGATTGAAGGCCTTTCACGTTTTTCAATCAATGTATTAATACTTTATATTACCTTTTATTTTGATTTCCTCATGAGTAATTGTTACAGCGGAATGAAATTGTTATTTCATTTACAGAATGGCTACATATTTCCCTGTAATATGCGATTATTAATACCTTAAAATAATAGCTAGTCAAAAGGAAAAATAAACTTTAAACGATTACCACGAAGTTTTCAATTACCACAGACAAAAATACATTAAATTTTTCGTGCATTATGTCAAAATATTGCAAAAAATTAAAGTGGTTATTAATTACTCTTATATTTATGATTTTAAAAATCAGCAATACTTTATTTTGTTTATAAATAAACACTGACCATCTAAAATTACTTGGAATTCCATCTCAGTGATGCGCCGCTATCTTTCTTTATGACACCGGTGACGCCATCTCTTGTGCAACTACGGAACTTTGCCATCTACCTTGTTACATCAATGCAGTTTACCTTTTCACTCTTAAACTTTACAATTATCGTATATGAAACATATTAAAATTTCAAAAAAATAAACGCTAAAGTATTTAGTATAAATCCAATACTAATGTTTATAAATGAGAAAAAAACTGTCTACTAAACCAATTTTAATGAAATTTGGTGTACAGATAGAATGGACCATGAGATTGGGATTAGAATAGTTTTCAAGCGGGCGAAGCCGCGGGCGTAAAGCTAGTAGAGTGTAGGTACATTAGGTATTTGTAGTTTATAGATTACGTACTACGTTATCTGATCATAATTTCACCAAAGCAGTAATGAAATGAATATACTGGCGAAGTAAGAAGAAGATATACTTTATAGTATTCTGATAATAGCGGCAACAGCATTAGTTTAGCTTTCCAACACACTAATGGCGACAATCATTAAACCCTGTTTAACTAGTCACATCTAATATTTTATTACAAAATCGCAATGCGCGTTAATTACATCAACGCGAGGATTGACAGCTTTCTATTTCTATTAGTAAATTATTAATTAATGTGAATATTTTACTATTTGCGTAACGATGCAAAACTAGTTGGTCTAGCCGACATTCATTTATATTTAACATACACATTCGTCAAAAAATTGTTTTGGTTCAAAAATTTTCCATTTATGTCATTGTAGGTACGGCATATCCAAAAAGTATAATCAAAATTATCACCCAATAGGTGGAATAACAGCATCGATTTTTATTTGAATTAAAGCACTTTTCTTATTTTATTCTCATTTCTCCTTTTCTCTATTATATTATATATAATAGAAACTTATATTTAAATACTGTACCTATGAACATTTTAATCTACAGTCTACTCTTTACTGATTACAAGGAATTTAATCTTCCTCAAATGAATTCGAGTTTGGTATAAAAATAGAGTACCTACTTTAAGGGACTTATACCATTATAATGATAAGAAATCTAAAATATTTTGTTAGAAATATAGCAAAAAAAGCACTTTATTTAAATGTACAATATTTTCTCAACTTTAAACGAAATCATGTATAAAATTGTGCCCACTTTTTATTACCTTGTCTTTTTATCAGTGATAAATGATTTTTCGTTAATATTTCCTTCAGATCAATCAACGAAACTTGTTCTAATGTTGATAAAGTACCAAAAACTCGCCCACTCTTATCGATTACTAATTCTTCCAAATACCTAGATTGATAATTGTATTTTTAATCGGATGATATCATTTCTTGAGTGTGTTTAAAAGATATTATATTATCAGTTTCTACTTAGTTTTCTTAATAAGTTAAAAAAAAAGATATATATTATTATATTTGATCAATGTTTGCATTCACAATGCTGCTTAATTAAAAATGCCTATATTGTATATGTTAACGTTGTAGTAGAGATTCTACAATAATAGAAAGGGTAAAAATAATTATTAATATTTTTATTTTTTTAATAGGTAGTTGTTATTTAATTTGCAATAAATATATTGCCCCATTTTATTTGTAAAAATACTACATCAGAAAATATATAATAGTCAACGCCATCAGTGTCAAAGATTAAATTCCATATCGATGCATAAGACGTAGACAAAAGCTCACCGGTACAAAAAACAAAACGGAAAGCCATCTCGACACAATCTATAACCTCTCGATATCATCCACCTGAGTACAATCTGTGCGGTGCGACGAAACGACCGTGTATCGTCGTCTCGCTCGATCACGGCTCGCGCAAGATGCGCCCTCTCCTTTCCCCCGCGCGCCCGGCGGCCGCTCTCCACCAATCGGCGGCCATCTTTTGCTCCCTCGAGAGCAGAGCGACAGTGCGCCTCTCATCAGCGCAATCACAAGGAGACAACATCTCGCCGCGCGAGGTTGTCGCTCCACGCGAGATGCGAACGGCCGACGAACAGTGCCTTACAAAATAGTGCCTTGGCTTTTTAAATTAAATTAAAAATATAGTTATATTCTGTGCTCTTTTTATAAGTGACAATAAACTGTGAGGACTTGGGAATTTGTGAGAGACATTATCCAGTGTGATAGCGCGAAAATTATTCACGATAGGGTAAGTGCTATTTTGATTAGATTACAATGCAAATTATCGTTTTGTGGCGGATATTAGGACGACCTATACTTTTGATGTGTGGTAGGTACCTGTAATAATAGGTGTAACGTGAAATATCGAGTTGGCTCAGTGCGATACGCGATTGTCAAATGATTCGTCGTCTGTTGACCTTTTGTACCCTGGACATGGTGCGTTGTTGTGAAGTGGTTTTTTAATAATCGAAATTTAGCAGCCCTTTGATAAAACAATGGCTTAAATTCAAATTTTTAGAAAAAAAAATCGTTGCTATTTATTTTACTAAGATTTTCACAAAAAAATATGTTTAAGTAATCAGCATTCACTTTATACTAAGTAACAATATTATAAATACGAACCCAATAGCTAATAAGTTAAAAATAATAATACAAAATTAAAAAGATTTCTTTTCTAGGTAAAATTAAAAAAAAAATATCGCCGACAAAATTCCAATAAGAAACTAGTTACCAAAAATTTATTATACAATTTAACAGTATTAACCATGTTGTAATTTAAAATAATCATAGTTCATATTAAGTTATAATAACACATAATGCAATTTTATTTATTCAGAACAAATTACAAATTATAAGTTAAAAATAATAATACAAAACTTTTTGTTTCATCCTCTACCTTATTTACTATCTACCTGCCTACAGTAAAATTTTAAAGAATTTTATTCGTTTAAGAATCTAATATGAAACAAGTTATATACCAATTTTTATACAATTAAACATAATGTGTAATTTTAAAATATCATAATTATGAATGAATGCTTTGGAAATTACACAAAAAACAACTTTCTCCCATGACTCGAATTAATAATAGCTGCACTAACTAATCTAGAATGAAGAATAATTATTGATTACATTGTGTAATCAATCAGCAATTACAAATGGCAGTTAAACGTTATCGATCGTGTAGAAAATCGTTTAAAAAGTACACAAAAAATATATTGATAAAGCTATATTTTCCGGTGTATGGTCACCGTCGGAATTAAACTATTTCAAAAAACATAATAAATTATTGCTTTAAAATACCTGCAACGTCTTAAAAATGCCTAATGGAAAATTAAAAAAGACATTTGCTATAATCTTAAGAAAATTTAACTCTATTTTTAACAAATTTTCAGATATTAAGTACCTTTGTTGTTCAATTAAACTCTTAAGTTATATAAGAATCTTTTTTTTTCAGTTTGCGATCAAACTGAAAAAAATTACAATATTAATTGAACAAAAAATAAGGATATTTCTATTCGTTTCAATTGACGAATCGATAACAGGCCATCTCGGGTTTTTATCAATATCCAATTCATTTATCAATAATATAGACCTAAAGAGTTTAGGATAGCATAAATTAAGATTCGTAAGATCAACAAATCTGGCAAAGGTTACTAGATACTGATTTATCATACAGACTGTTCTAGAACTTATAATATTTGGTAGGGTCGCATTCATAATATTTTACCACTAGAACAGTTATTCTGATTAGATTTTTTCAAGTAACTATACAAATCGCTTTCAGACTTTTTCACTATTTCTAACAATATTTAAAACAAATAGAAGCTAAAAATATCAGCAAGAAAATAGAGAAAATTTGCCAATAACTTTCTCAAAACGACGATAGATAATTTGGAAAATAAAACAACTTTACATTTATAATATTAAAGAACGGTAACCGAAATTAAGCTGTACTAAAACGTATTCTAAATGTGTTTAAAACAACAAAAGTACTATAAAACACACACAAAAGAGTAAGTTTCTTTTCAAAAAGGAAGATTCAACACTCTATAGCATAAATATTAAAAACAAAGTGTACGAACAAAAAAACCTGCGTAATAGAAAAAAATACATTAATACATAAATAAAAACTATTTAACCACATCAACACTTATAGTTGTATTATCTAAATCACATATAAATTGAGATTGTTTCTTGTTAAGATACGCGTCGAGTGCTCTGTGAGATAAATGCTTAACAAAATCATTTGTACTTCTACCTTTCATCATCGATGACTACATATATTCACCAGAATGTAATGATAAATAAATCATACGTAAAAAATCTGATTAATTTGTTGGAATTGTAGATCTAGATATCGCACACCTAGATCTAAACTGAGACAACTCAAAAATTTGATTGAGTTTTTACTTAGTACAATATTCAAATTCTCTGTGATCATACGCATCTATCCAACATAACAGATTCAATAAAGGTTTGGGGATGAGCCACTAGATAACTTTAGCTTTCTTTTGTTAAATCAACAGTGGTCGCGCTCCTGTCACATAAACAAATGTATTGTCAAACCTCCACATTCGTTTTTTGAGTTGTCTTAGTTTAGATCTAGGTGTGCGATATAGAAAATATGATTGAAATATTACGCAGAAATCTCTAAAGCTTAGTCAAATTGGAACCAATAGGTAATTTCATTATTATAAAATAAATTTGTGTGCGTGTCTTACCATTTGACTGAGATAAACACAGAAATTAATGAATTGAGACTTTCGTGAGGAAGATTGAGATGTATAATACAATAAGATTTTATATAAATTGTCGATTACATCGAAAAATATATCAAATCTGAGATTTATTACGTGTCCATGTGAAGGCCTAACATATCTTAATAAAATAAATGCAATTAAAAATTAAAACAAACATAAATTTTATACGGGGTCAAAGCTTATATACAGACTAATTTTAATCCGTGGTTTTGCGCGCATAATATAAGATTTAGACTTGATCCAGCAATAAGTTATAGTTATCAGTCTATTCAGATACTGCATTTATTAATCACATCCGACGAGTCACGTTACACAAATTGCAATCTATCAAAATTATTCGTTCTTTTTTTACGAATCCAGAATCGACCACGATATGTAATTCAAAATTGACTTAATTATATTATGCTGAGTTGTCAAATAACAAAACAAAAAGTATCAATGGCAACACAGGCAAAAGTCCATGCATCAGAAATAATTAAACTTTCAAATGTAAAATTAATATTTCATATAGAACAAATTAAATAAATACGCACTTATTTATTTAATTGTCTAGCAGCAGTCATTAGCTACGAGTTCATAGATTATAATAGGATTAAATGCTTTGTTATAATGTAATGACGTCACGTTCCTTTTATTCTATACTTTTCATCATTATCTTCTGATATTTAAGAGTCTTTTTTATCTCTTTGTGTAAATCAGTTTTTATGTGTACACTTGCGCGTTATCTTACAATAACTATTAAGTATTTATAGAAAATGTGTATTACAAAAGTAATTTAAAAATAATAGGAAAGACTTAATTGTTTGTTTGTTCGTTTGCATTGCATAGACTCTAGAACTACTGGACCGATTTTAATTTCTCTTACGGGAAGCTACATTACACACGCTATAATTTTCACTAGCAAAGTTGCCGAAACAGAACTAATATTGTTACTGGAGAAACATATACAAATATTTCATCATTGGTCCAAAAAGAAACCAGAAGAACAAATAGTACAGCTTAAAGTCACCACGTGAGCTTAACGGGTGTATTGGGAAATATTTAAAACTCTATTACCTACAATGAGTAAGACTATAGTAAATAACACGAAACAAATAAAATTATTATAAAATTGATAGAAATGCAGCTTTCTTCATACGGACATTTCCTTTTTTCTTAATATATTCGTTGAAGTCTAATGAAGGAAAGAAAAATTGAGATTAAAAATAACATTTCTCTTGCCATACAAAACGGAAAACACGTAAAATTTCAGTAACACAACAAGGACATATCTATTTATAAATTATTTCATTGAGTAATAAGTTTTAATCTTTAATGATATTTTGTCGTAAAAAAAACTAATTTCATAAAAAAATAAAGGAGAAAAAATATATTATCATCCTCATGTGAGTTTACTTATTAAATTTAGCATAATATCTATCTGTTTTACAAGTATAAATGCATAACAATTTGTATGATAATTATGCAATAAAATATTTAAGCAACACGATAAATATTGCGATTTCGTTATCTCGCGGCAAGGTGTTTATCGTCACACGAGCCTTCTAAAACTTTTGTAACGACGAAGGGATTGCGACGAACAGCCTCATCATGACATGAGATTATGGCAACATTGTCACGGATTCACTGATAACACGGTGCTATCTAACACGACGCAGGTTACACGAACCATTTTTATTATACCATATGATCTGAGGACATTATTATATAATGAACAAGTGAATACATTCCGATACTGGATGACCTTAAATAATGAACATGAGACGGGCATATTTTATTTACTTTTTTCAAATTAAATATATTAATTTAATAAATATGATAATCTTTTTTTTTTGAAGCCTAAATTATATTCTATCTATATCTTCATTCCGCTAACCTAACATCTAACATTTATTGAGAGCCAAACGCACAAAATATTTACTTTATATGAGAAATTACTGCAACAAAAGATATTGATAAATGAGTTTTATTAATTATTATTCCACTACTATTGCTGCAACTATACCCGTAATTCCTTCCGAATTCATCATTTCTTCAGTACATTTTCACAAAGCTGAATAATACACTCAAACTTTAATCATGAATAAATCTATCTTTAAATAGAAAGCGCGTGAATATTGGTATATTAGTTTAAGAGTTTATCGCGTTCAAACAGTCAGACAAAGACTTTGTGTTGTAATATTGGATATACTGAAGTTCATACTAAAATACGTACTTATAATACGTAAAGCTTCCAATTTTAGACAGAACGATTGGTTATTATATAGAACTGTTTGGATTCTGTTACATACGTTACCAACGTTAAATAACGTTTTAATATTGGTAATTTTTATACTTTCATCTCAACGCGATAATCTAATTTAATTCAAAAGATACAAATAAATTACAAATCACCGACACAATAATTTTCATTACATCTTTTTGATAATTGAAATTCGCAAATATTCTATTTATTATGTTTCTTCAAACAACCGTTAATTCGATTTTGTTATTAGCATCTAAGCAAATATTACGATTTTTATGAAGTTTAATAACTCTCTTATAAAAAAAAGCCATGGAAAAAAGGGATTAAAAATTAACTCTTCAAAATGGTATTTCCTTCCCATAACTGGTCGACTCGCACACGGCATTTGTAAGAAAAAAATTAACCAACGACGAGGAAAACGTCTTCAATATACATTAATTCATAGTCTGAAACAAGACCCGAAGGAACAAATTAAACACCTAAATAACGAAGTTATTCAGTTTAACTTTGTTGGAAAAATCACTCGAAAACTCATCTGCTACAAACACCCAGTTGCAAAAATGTTCATTAGGGTTTAATAACAACTGTAAGCTGTAAATAAAGACAATTTTTAAGCTTCAATGGACATTTGTGCAACCAAGTGAAATGAGAAAAACGGTAAAGCAACAACCTTTGCAAAAGTAAGTCATGTTAAGCTGTTTGTCGTGAATGTATTTATAGTAAAAAAAACATGCCAATAACGCCATCTATTACCGTAACGAAAACTAAAATTTCCAATACGAAAATATGACATTTGAGCTTAATATTAACAATTATCGCGTTAACAACTTCGTTTTTATAACATAGCAACATAGCACAGTCACAGCACACAGATACAATAAAATTAAACCTGTATTACCTTTTCAAGGAGTTTTTATTTGTATGTACTTAAACATTTACCTTATTCAGTAGTGATGAGATAAATTTCGCTTCATCCTTAAAATTTTCCGATAGTAGAAAATCAACTCGTTAAATATCTAATCTTTCCACCGCATAAGTCGATTCTTCATGTTACTCCCTTTAAAAGTACCGCTTATCAGTAAAATGCTGAGATTAATGAAGCTATAACATTACAGTTCTCACAACTCAATGACTGATTCTTAATATCAAAAGGTGCGACACATCGGCATCAGTTTGCTTTCTTGTAACTAACGAGTTTTATGTAAATTTGCAGTTTATGAAAACGCATTCGATTCTAATAAGACCAGCTATCTCACCATCGAATAAATAACCACTTTATTTCCCTTTGACTAGCTTATGGTGTATTTGTTAGGAGCTTATTTTGACAAGGTCGACTTTTTATAATTACTTTTAATATATTGTTACATAAAGAAGACATGCACTCTCGAAGTCATAACTTTTTCTAATACGCGCTCTTGGTAATTTTAACTTCTATTTTTTAAACATTTTCTTTTGTTTTTGTTCTGACTATATATTTATCTCGACTATTTTATTAATTCATTGTAAATATTTAATTTTATTTCCTATTTTACTTACGAAATAAAGAATGATTGTATTCTTCAGTCGGCATTTGTTCGCAGAGTAATTTATTAGAAAAGTCTAAATATTCATTAAGGTTTAGATATAATATTGAAGTATGTCTATGAGCTTACTACAGTCAAGCTTTTATAATTATTATAAGCTTCATTGGTAGACATCTTAAGTCATGTATTATATATATCTTATATTTCAAGAATAATAATACAAACCCATCTGTTACATGGTCATTAAAAAAAATCAAACACTAAACCGAGACAATTACCTTATAAATGAATCCTGTTTTATTTCAACTGCTTGTTGGTCAACCTAGTAACGCAACTCTACCTACTTTATCAATACATCAATATGAAGACCAGTCTCGGCTCCTTCCAGTGGCGTATACATAAAATCTGTAGTTATGTACGTCGCATACCAGTCGGGCAGGTTATTAGCACGCATTGTCTGGCTATAATAGGTCGGCGAGCTGCGCACGCGCTTATGTCACTAGGGTGACCATGCTCATTTAATTTTTAATATTTTTTGCAAATAATAATAATGATTCGGGAAAAATGCCATGTTTTATGTGCAATGTAACTTAATAGATATTACTCAATGAGGATCGTAATGTAAGATCTACCTTATTTGTTCTTAATAGGCTTATAGCTCTCAGAAAGTCATAGTCTATAACCAAAAGTTTTTTTTTTATCAATTAAGTGACCCATCATTTTAGTTATTGTAATGCTGCGATAATATTTTCACTTGAGAAAAATATTTTTAAACTATATTTTTGAGCAAACAATATCTTATAGACTTATAATAAAACATATTATACGAAAAATTCGATGACTAAATATTTATCATTTATCATTCTCGTATAACAGTTATGTAATTTTTTACTTAACAGAATTGTGAAAATATGCGTTAATGTTTCTTAATTTCATTCAGATGTCAGATATTATTGCCTAAAACCTTTCATCATGTTATCATAAACTCATTTTTATCTACGCCACAATAATCAGATAATAATTTAAGAAATTAATTTATCTTATTAGAGCATTTCAATGACGTCATACATGTTTACAAGTAAAAATCACAATCTAACCGATTACAGATAAATTGGAATGAAATCGTTTCTTTAAAAGATAAATACTAATATGTTATTTTAAAACTTAAGATTAGTTTTAAAAAGTAGGTATCCATATGAAATATATATAAAATTTTAATACACTACGCTTCCTTATAACTTCATAAAAAAAATAACATCACTATTCGTATCATTTATTGTCAGTCTCGCCTAGAAATTCCCTATTTGTATTGAGAGATACAAAGTTGAGTCTAATCACTAAATAAAGGAAATACCAAATCAAATGAGATTTTTTAAAATAAAACTGGAAACTTTAATGAATAATACGTTCCCACAAAATTAAACAACTGTCTTTATAGTACATGCAATGTAACAGATATCATTTAACCGCAATGTTTTATAAGATTCTGTACTTCCCCAGACGGGTACTTCACATTGAGCGGAAAATTAATCTAAAGAGTCTGTGTTTGTTATTAACACAATTTGTCCTATGAAGTCCTAAACACAAAAAAAAACATGAGGAAATAGCGTTAAGATATAACTTGAAATATTACTAAACCGCAATGTTTGGTGCACTAAGGTAGAGAAAGATTATGGATTCGAATCTTATTGGTCAGTATAATATAAAATATTAAATGATAACTTATTGATCGCAGGCGCCGTTGCGGTCGCACGTCGCGGGTCATGCAGGGAGCCGCTGCCACCCCCGCGCCCCCCGCGGCCGAGCCGCCATCCTCACAACGTAAGTCGATAGATAAACAACACAAAAACCATGGCCACCCCACTACTCTTCTTCAAAAATAAAAGCAATGATTTTATTTGAGTTTGGTATAAATGTTGGACGCTTGATTAATTTATTTATATTTAAGAAAACGCCTCTTTGTTTATTTAGGTATACAAATTAATAGTAAAAAATGACTCTGAAAAATTAGCTTATATAAATACGATAAATATTCAATCAGAAATAGAATATTTCCACGACAAGACTTTCAATCGTTTATTAATAAATATCAAATCTATAAGAAACATGTATGTACCTTTCTATACTATAACATCGTCCAAGTTTCGAATTCACTTCCGAAACGTTTTCAATTAGAAAACGATAAAATTGCTTCTCGCAAGCAATTATGTCTAAAGTATGAATCAAAAACAGGATATACTCGTGCTCGATATTCGATACTCACCGTGCCTAAAGACAGGGCCAGATCTAGATCTACAAACGCTTCAAACAAAATTGTATTCGCAGCACTTTCCACATTAACAAAGGAATCACAAATATTTTCAAGATCAGCTATGCTATTCTGTTAAAACAAGCTCTAACTCGACTTCGAACGCAGAACTGTGACAGCATAGAGCATTAATAAAATATAACCTTTATTAAATTTTTGAAGTAGGTTCTTTCTGATTGATCCTGTATGACGTTGCAGCGCTGCGTTAGAAGACGTATTCGGGACTGTTTTATAACAGAATAGTACTACAGTACCTATATGATATTGTCTATCATTCGCATGTTTTTTCTTCTAGATCTAGTAGACAAAACAACACTCAACGAGTACGTAAAAAGTGGTTTATTTAATAAGTGTTCCGTTCATCCTCATCATAATGAACGATCTAAGATCTTTATCCAGGGCCAGATTTAAGGGGGAGCAGGTCGGGCAATTGCACACAGCGGCAAAAATTAGAGACGGCAAGTTTTTGCTCGCAGACCGATCTTATTTATTTATTCAATTTTTTTTGGACCTTCAATCAGGCCCTGGCTAAAGATCTTAGATCGTTCATTATGCAGAGGATGAAATAAGACGCGACATTGGTATATGAGCCCAGCACGAGCCTTAGCTCTTGGCATTTATAATTATAATGAGTTAGTTTTTACAATCGAAATTATAGTTTAAATGCCCTTTAGTACTTGATTCCGATAAAGATAGTACTCACCAGCCTACAGTTGCAACATATAACGAATTCCTTTAAACTATGCGTAGTAGTTACCTTGGCGTTGTCATTGCGTTCTCAGCATGCCCCTAATAGTGTTAAAATAATTATTATTATATTTTATTGGCGTCGTTAAAGCCAACTTTACGCAACCCACAAGCCGTGGAGCGAATAAAATGTTAACACTTTTACATTTTATCGTTTTGAGCGCGAAAAAATGACTAACTCAGTATTTTGTTTTTTTTTTTAATATATTAGCGCAAAAGTTCCTTTATATCACATATTTCTTAGTACGTGACTCCAATTGAAATTTGTAATCTACTTGAAAGAAAATAGCAGGATTGAGGAAGAAAAGAAACATCGTTAGACGAAATTGAAATAGTTTTGTGTGTAACATGATTATTTTTTAAATGCACCACTATTTTCTGAGAATATAATGAATGGGTCTTCCCATAAATTTAAAATGGATCATCTGTTATAAATGCATGTTTTTATTTTACTTGCATTATCTGTATCCGTTTTCTTTTCAACTTTTTTGGCAATGCATCCATTTTAAATCTAATATGGCGACGTAGTAATGTTTTGTGCACTATTATGATATAAGTATCAAATGAAAGTATTTGCTGCGAAGCTTACAACAAAATAAATAATAATAAAGATAAGCTTTTGTTAAAATATTAAAATAAACTTTCGTGTATATCGAACCCATATATAGCTTTCTGTCTATCTATCTATAATGTATATTAAATGGGTTATGTTAATTAATATAAAGTTAGTATTTTTTATGAATGAAAATGAAGTTTAAATTAATAAAAAAGCATTATTATAAAAATAGGTATTTTTCAACATGCTCGTCAATACCATTATGGAGACAGGAATTCGGTCGTCTGTATCCATATCTAAGATCCACATCCCATTGTGGCTGTAACACTTGTGTACACAACATCTTCACCAGTAACCACATAGTTCAAACATAATATTAAAACAGATTTTAATATTGAATAGTGTAGCCCGGCAGATTTCAGATGGTCTATGTTAACCGGATAAATTTGGTTCGCCTTTATCGAAAGTATAAATGTTTTATAAAAATATTTCTTTCGGCTGTTTGAGTGGATTGCCAGAATTCATCAGTCCCGCTAGGTACTGTGATTAAAGCAGTCGCCCAGAGAGTGCCAGGAATTCAGACGAAGCTCCTCCTTCTAGATAATTCGTGTAACTTAAAAATAAAATACATTACCCATCATAATACCAAACATTATATACTAAAGTTCGATTTATATTAAAAGAAAAAGAACCTCTAATAATTTATCCCGGCAATCGCGTAAAATCATATATCCCAACAAGATCTTCATATTTCATTGTTGGTAACATAAATATGATAAGGACAAAACTCAGTCTACTCAAAACTCGCATAGGACCGAAAACGGCTGACTCCTAGATGAAAAATGACGTAATTACATTACGTACTTCACCAGTTTCTGAGAATGTCTATCTGTGGTATTATTTCCTTTGGAGATGAATACGATCGTATGCTCAGACCGGAAGTACACTATCTGCAGATTAATCGGCGAAGTTTCCTTCATTGTAATCTTTTGTATTTGCCTAATGTCATTTTAGTATAACCATCTTAGAATTCAAATATTTGGTATATCTTTTCAACAACACAATAAAACTATTAACTGTATTTTATAGATTCATTTTTTTTCATTTATTTTGGTATCAAACAGTCATTTACTTAACAAATTGTGTATAATTAAATGTGCTTTAAATTTAAACTTAAAAGTTAACATACGACAAAATAATGATTTTGTATAATTGCTCTTAAGCAAATTATCTAAATTACATTATATAATTTATCGTCCACCCCTTCCTATATAGAGAGGTATTCGGGAATATTTTACAATGTTAATTAAATCGAGAAATTTATTTCGATAAAGATAATTCACATAGACGAAGCCGCCATAAATTCATATATGGGACAAAATTCACGTAAAAATAAATGTAACAAAATTTACATGAAATATTTGTTTAGAAGTGGTGAAAGAGAGTTCTACATTTGAACGCAGCCATGAGTAATCGCAGGTAGCATTTTTAAAAAGCTATCTAACCGATTAGGATGTCAACTAAAGGCGTAGTTATATAGCGGTACCTTTTATCTGATAATGCGTTCCGCTCTCATTTCGTGTACCTATAACGATTGAGTAAAGTGAGTTATTTGACAATTGGTGACGATAACGTCCAAGAAATTTGTGTTAAGGCTATCAGTTCTTCGAAAAATGATGATTTAAAGTATATAAGTAATCACTTGAAACCTATTGTAATGCCTATTGTAAAAATATTCATATGTAGTTAAGAAATTGGACGAAAATATAAATGGAAATGTAAGAATGTGGTTAATAATTTGCAAAATTATACATTTAAAAATACACAACACGCTCTCATTCCAAAGGCTAACTGCCTAACGCCATCTCTCGAGCACTCCACGAATTAATATTCAATGATCAACACATCTCCCGCCCCTCTTCGCGGCCCGCTGCGTGCGCGCACCAAATAGGGACACTTTTCCGCTGGAGAAAGCCGTCGATTGATTGAATAACGATTTTGATGGACCTCAAACTGTATACTATTATCGCCTATAATCGTATATAATTTTCGTAAATTTTTAAAGCGAAACACGGCATGTTTTCGTCTTTATCCAGTAGTAAACTATATTAATTTGACAAACATAGGAGCTCATATTATATTATTGTTACATTTTATAGACACTATAGGTCTATTATAACTTCAACAATTTACAATCATTATTTTTCTATGTATATAGACTGTTTGTAGCCTTAAATAAATGAAAAAAAAAATATTAGAAAAAGGTACAGGTAAAAGTTTACAACTATGTTTGTAGGGGAGTAATCTACGAAAATACTATCCGGTCATGAAATTTTTTTCATCTACAGAAAGCTACTTCATGCTCGGGTGACATAAGGCTATAACGGGCAAAGTACCGAGTAAGCATAAATACATACTAGACATAATACAATAGAGCTATTTAGATTATTATACATCTTATAAACCTGTAAAAATTAATCTGTTTACTCTCATTTGTCCAATTCTGTTCTTAAGATTAAAAAAAAGTTTTTATGCAAACCATTATTTAATTAAAAGTAAGATTTATTTATTCGAATACTTTAAAATATCTCAATCGTATACAAACGTCGACAATAAGTCTATACCTAATGTAATAATCCGTAGTCAGCCATAAACGTATCGATATTTGACACTGTCCGTCGGTACCTACGACCCACATCCTACTGTGCAAACACAATTTTCATTCACAACTTTGATAATGAACTAAATTTAATGATCTGGTATTTTATTAATTACAACGCAAAATATTATTAATACGCGGTCTCGTTTAAATGACGTAAGTTATTTGCCTAAAAACATTAAATTTTCCTGTAAAGAAACATATGACGTTATTATTAGGTAACAATAATAAAAATTGATAAGGCGCGAGTAAATTCTCTAAATGCATGCATGCATCTTTATTTTTGGTACAATTCTTATATATTGGTGAAAGAATCTTTTAAATTAATCCAGAATTTTTGGAACCCAAACAAACCGCAAGCCAATAATTAAATAATTCCTCCCCATAATATTAGTATAGCTATCACACGCACGTGTTTCGATTATAACGTTTTTTTATTTTGCGACGGGGCCTGTTAGCCAAATATGTTTTTTTTTCTGACATCTTTCATATACAATAAACTTGAATTAATTATATACCTATACCTTCGAGTTATATAATTCCGTCTTTTG